CACAAACAAACACAAACACACACAAACAAACACAAACAAACACACACACAAACACACGCACACACACACGCACACACACAAACAAACACGAGAGAACGCGAAACGACAAAGTGGAGCCGCGCAAAGGGGGCGGCTGGCTACGCGCCACGCGCCACGGCAACATTGAAGCCCCCCGACCAACGCCCCCCCCCCCCCCACGTGTTCTCTCCGTCACACACTGCCCCCCACCCCCCCAAGGCTCGCGAAAATAAATTAAAAGGGGGGGAGAGGAGGGGTGTGGAAATGAGGCGCGGGAAAAAAAAATGTTGTCGCAATAAGTTAAAAAGGGGAAAATCACTTTTGCGGAAGGGCCTCCTCCCCCCCCCACTCGAAGGTGGTGTTTGGCCTACTCTTCCACGACCGGCCAGACGTGGTTTGGAAGAGGTGGGGGGGGGTAGGGGGTGTACCCCCACCTTTACCCCAAGCGGTCCCCCCACCCACCCCCCGTGCCACCGACCGCGGCTGAAAGTCAATAAATAAATACAAAATCGCTCTCGAATGTCACGATCGCGCATTTCGGATTAGCGCGGCTGCGTTATGGTTCAACGATTCCCCCGTGTAGCCTGTAACAGACTGCAGGGGCAAGCCGTGTCAGCGAGTAGTAGCACCTATGAAGGCTGGAACGGCACACGAGGGGGTGGGTGGGCCAGCACCACGCCCGACCGCCTTTGTCTCTCTCCCAGTGGCGATGTTTACCACACACCGCACCGGGACCTCGTTGAGGCCGAGTCGACCTAGGGGAGGGCCCAGGACCGGTTCGAATAATCGTCACCGGCCATTACGGGTACCCATTCCCTACCCGTACCCTACCCGAAATGAGTGACAAACGGTGACTCATCAGTGACTCACGGCCTACCCGTACCCGTACCCGGCTGCACCAGGGTCGCAAACAGGTACCCGTACCCGGCCGAGTACGGGTAGCCGGGTATCGGGTAGGGTACGGGTATCAGGTACCCAGTTGCGACCTCTGGGATGAAGCCATGTTGCAGGCGCGGGTGGGTTCATTCTAGGAACTTGAATTGTGAGAAGAGACAAGACGTTGGGAAATGAGTGACAAACGGTGACTCAACAGTGACTCACGGTCTACCCATACCCGTACCTGGCCCGGTACGGGTAGCCGGGTATCGGGTAGGGTACGTGTATCGGGTACCCGGTTGCGACCTCTGGCCTCGGGTGCCGATAAAGTCATTTCATTTTGCGTTTCTGTCACGGGTTGCGTTACCGACCGTCGTCGCAACGGGCAAGGGCTGAACGCACGACGTTTAAGGCGATCTTCGTGGTGATTCGGAGTCAGGAGATGTTTACACCGGGGGGGGGGGGGGGGGGGGGGGGCAAAGGCCTCGCCCCCCCCCCCCCCCACGTCCGTGGAGGCGTCTTCGGCCGTTTGTGGGGGTCGTTTGACCATACTTCACCCCGGAGGGGAGAGGGAGGGTTTGTCGACGGGTCCGAACACAAACTCGGAAACACGATCGTTTTGCAAGTAGATCAACAAACAAAACAAAAAAAGCCCGAACTGTGTGCGTGTGTCCGACTCAAGTTTCCAGCGGGACGCGTGGAACTGCGTCTTCCCGAATAACAAAAAAAGGCACGAGACGTTTGGACGGCGGCGGATTTGACCGAAGTCGAATTGCAACCTCTACCCCCCGTCCCCGTCCCGATCGGAGCGTGTGGCCACGCGCGGTGCGAAAGGAAGAACTCAACGGGCGGCGACGATGTGCGGAGAGAGAGAGCGGTGCGGTGGGAGCGGTGGGCAACGATTGTGGTGGTGGTAGTGGTGGTAGTGGTGGTAGTGGTGGTGGTAGTGGTGGTAGTGGTAGTGGTGGTGGTAGTGGTATTGTGGTGGTATTGTGGTGGTAGTGGTGGTAGTGGTGGTAGTAGTGGTAGTGTTGGTGGTAATGGTGGTAGTGGTGGTAATGGTGGTAGAGGTGGTAGTGGTGGTGGTGGTAATGGTGGTAGTGGTAGTGGTGGTAGTAATAGTGATGGTAGTGGTGGTAGTGGTGGTGGTGGTGGTAGTAGTGATGGTAGTGGTGGTAGTAGTAGTGGTGGTAGTAGTAGTGGTGGTGGTAGTAGTAGTGGTAGTGGTGGTAGTAGTGGTAGTAGTGGTGGTGGTAGTGATGGTAGTGGTGCTGGTAGTGGTGGTAGTAGTGCTGGTAGTGGTGGTAGTAGTGCTGGTAGTGGTGGTAGTAGTGGTAGTAGTGGTGGTGGTAGTGATGGTAGTGGTGCTGGTAGTGCTGGTAGTGTTGGTAGTAGTGGTGGTGGTAGTGGTGGTGGTAGTGGTGGTAGTGATGGTAGTGGTGGTGGTAGTGGTGGTAGTGATGGTAGTGCCCCCGCCGAGTCAAACCCCCGACTCAGAATCGAACCTACGCAATTTCCGACAACGAGCAAAAACGTTCCGAGCACAGCGTTACAAACAACAACAACAATATTATTGTTGTTGCCATCGTCTGGAAGAGAAATAAATAAATCGCGCCACAACACTCGTGGAACGGATATCTGACCATACTTCACCACACTGGTCAGTGCGGCCCAGTTAAGGTGTGGGGGAGCATAGTACAGCACAATAAATGTTGCGGCACTGCCCTCTAGCGTCTGCTAATGTAACCCCAAAGCCTATAGCACCTGTGATGCTGGGTGGTCACCCATCCAAAGCACTATCAAGACTCTAAAACTAAACGAGACATTTATTTAAATTTTTACCAGGTAAAGCCCCACTGGGCCACGTATCTGGTTATCAGAAGTGACCCCTTGCTATCACAAACGTTAGCTCAACGAAATTGTGGCTTTTCGATTTAAAGCTTTCGTGACTGCAGGGATTCATCTTCTTGGTTCTTTCGGTCAAGTCACGTAGAAGGGAAGTAATAAAATAATAAAACATAATAAAATACAATTCTCACGACGTTTCGGCCACAACGCAAGCAGCCGTCCTCAGGTGAAGAACAAGTCTTTCCAACAGACATGTTCTTCACCTGAGGACGGCTGCTTGCGTTGTGGCCGAAACGTCGTGAGAATTATTCTATTATGTTTTATTTTTCTTATTTTATTACTTCCCTTCTACGTGACTTTACTGAAAGAACCAAGAAGATCAAGTTGTGGTTTTTCATCATCGCCGTCGCGTGGAAATGTAAAGCGGTCGCCAAACACTCCGAACGCGTCAACGTCCATTCTAAAATGTTGGAAAGGAAAAAAAAAAGCCGGAGGACCCGGAGAAAAATCCACGCGACCACGGGGAGAGAGACACGCAAACTCCAAATATACAGCAGCAGGCGTCAAGGGGTCCTGGATCGAACTCACAATCTCAGTGGGCCTTACTTGGAAAAATAAAAGCAGTTCAGTTTTAGTTTAACAGTAAAATTACCGAGCAAAGCTCACTCAACTCACTCACCCCCCCCCCGTCCCTCCTTCCATCAAAAACCACGTACAGTATTTTTGCATAAAACATCATCATCATCATCGCGATAAAAGTAAAACCAAGAACATTTACCAACGTGCGCACGCTGTGGGAGTTTCTTCAGGAAATCAACTGTTGCGTGTGTGTGTGTGAGAATCAGTGTGTGAATCAGTGTGTCAGTGCGAGTGAGTGAGTTGAGTGAGTGACTGGGTGAAATGGTGAATGAGTATGAGAGCACGTGTGTGTGTGAAAGTGTGAGTGAGTGTGCAAGTGAGTGTGTGAATGGTGAGCGAGTGAGTGCGCGCGGCGTGTTTGTGTGTGTGTGAAAGTGTGAGTGATGTGCAAGCGAGTGTGTGAATGGTGAGCGAGTGAGTGTGCAAGCGAGTGTGTGTGTGTGAAAGTGTGAGTGTGTGAATGGTGAGCGAGTGAGTGGCAAGCGAAAGTGTGTGAATGGTTGAGCGGTGAGTGCGGTGTGTGAATGGTGAGCGAGTGAGTGCGCGTGCGTGTTTGTGTGTGTGTGAAAGTGTGAGTGCGTGTGCAAGCGAGTGTGTGAATGGTGAGCGAGTGAGTGCGCATGCGTGTTTGTGTGTGTGTGAAAGTGTGAGTGCGTGTGCAAGCGAGTGTGTGAATGGTGAGCGAGTGAGCGTGCGAGCGTGTTTGTGTGTGTGTGAAAGTGTGAGTGAGTGTGCAAGTGAGTGTGTGAATGGTGAGCGAGTGAGTGCGCGCGCGTGTGCGTGTGTGAGTGAGTGTGCAAGTGAGTGTGTGAATGATGAGCGAGTGAGTGTGTGAGCGTATTTGTGTGTGTGTGAAAGTGTGAATGAGTGTGCAAGTGCGAGTGTGTGAATGGCGAGCGAGTGAGTGCGCGCGCGTGTTTGTGTGAAAGTGTGAGTGAGTGTGTGAAAAAGAGTGGGTGGATTGAGAGAGCGAGCGAGTGTTTTGAGTGAGTGAGTGCGTGTTGAGAGGGAGTGTGTGCGAGTGTGCAGGGGAGTGTTAGACGTGGCTAGCGGGTGTGTCAGTCACTGTAGTGAGTGAACGAGTGAGCGTGAACTGCTAGCGGCTGTATATGGATTCTGTCTTTGCACAGCATTATGGGACGCTACTAACATGACTGACGCTACATCATAAAATGAAAGCATTATTATCATTAACCGATTTCCTGAAGATGCTCCCAGGATGTGCGGTGAAACGTCGGACAAGGCAAGGTGAACGGCACGCGGTAAGATCGGAGGCGGGAAACTTTCCGGCAACCGTGCGGGCGGTGTGGGTCCAGAGACATCCGAAAACTCGCCGCCAATTTGGCAAAAAATTAAATGAAATTAAATGATGCAACCGCGTAAATTCGTCATCGCCGCTTGGCGACGCTATCACAATCACGGAGCCTCGGTTTAGTATCATTACATTTTCTAGTAGTTTTTGTTTTTTACGCTGTCGCGTCAAGGCTTGCGATTAAAATCGGATAAAAAAAAACGAAAATAAAAAACGAAAACGGGCGACACGGATTCGGCAAGCTGGCCGCAGAATCGTTCTGCGCGTGCGAGTGTTCGTCTGCGCGTGCGGTTGTTCGTACGCGCGTCCCATGCGTACGTACGTGCGCCGTGTATGTCCGCGCACGTGCGTTCGTACGCACGCGTGCGCCGTGTAAGTTTGCGCGTACGTGCGCTCGTGCGTCCGTCCGTGCGCGCGATGTGCACGTCCGTTGCGCGCGTCCGTTGCGAGCGAGAGACGCAATCAATTTCAAGGAAGTCAACTTCCCCGATCTTCTCGTTCGACATCTCGTCCCGGGAAGAATTCTCTTGCCGCTTGAAAGCAGCCGACCGGCCGTGGCTCCCACCCACCCCCCCCAAGCCAACAATCGGGCGAAAGGAACGACGGGGGAGTGGAAACGTCGCTGCGCCTGGGATGACGAGGCGGGCGACTTCCTTCTGCTGCGACGAGGCTTCGCCGGCGGGTTTGGTCGGAGGCCGCGTGCCGTCGGCGGGAGTCGTGGGTGACCCTCAGCTGCAGGCTGCAGGCGACTGGGAAACCGCGTTCCGTTCCGTCACGAAGCTGTACTCGTACTGGAGCGGGAGAGCGAGCGAGAGGGAGGGAGCGAGGGACAACGCAGAGAGAGGGAGCGGTGGGATGCGGGGGAAGAGGTGAGATTGTATAAGGGAGATGTGGGTGGCACGGTGAGTGGGGGTGCCACAGTGGGGAGCGGTTTACCACCTCCCCCTGGTATACAGGAGGTCGTGGGTTCATTTCAGATCCTTTCTTGCTGCAACTCGTGAGCATCGCCAAACCGCGCTCGCCCTGAAGCCAACAACAGGGCGGCGTTTTTTTGCTTTTCAACAGCAGGTGGCATCGGTACATCACGAACGTGCTGGGCCAGGCAAGGCGTGTGTGGCCGCGCCATTCTCAGGGGTAAGTTTGTTTTGATTTCGGTGTAAAAAAAAAAATGCATGAAAGTGGTGGTGGGCGCTCGCCAACAGCACTTGCCCCAACAGTCTGTTAAGGCTACACGGGGGATCTTCGTCTTTGTATGGAGCATTGTGGGGAGCGGTGGTGTAGCGGTTAGCGCTACGAACCTGGTGACCCGAGTTCGATTCCCGCACCAGAGGCCAACGGCGGTGACGATTGTCTGAACCGGTCCTGGGCCTTCCCCTAGGTCGACTCAACCTTAAATGAGTACCTGGTGCGGTGTGTAAGATCATCAACGCTAGGGCGTGGTGCTGGCCACCCACCCCTCGTGTTTCGTTCCGCTCTGCATAGGTGCTCGCCAACAGCACTTTCCCCAACAGCCTGATCAGCCTATATGGGGGATCTTTGTCTTTTGAATGTCGAATTCGAATCAACGCTGCTGATATGACCTGCTCCCAGAAGGCTGTGCGGCTGTTGGGTTGCGTAGTTGATGTTCACACAAAAGAAATTGAAACAAAATATTTTTAATTACCACATTGTTTTTTTCTACGTCTATTTTAGAAACACTCACCGAGATTATTGAGATTATACTCTTTGGTTCTTTCGGTAAAGTCATGCTACCACAAGCCATTGCTTGTGGTAGCCAGGTCTAAAAAATAGTCATACTGGTAGGAACCTCCTGGTTACACCAGCCCACAGGGGATTCTTGTGTCCGTCCGTCGTGCAGAGAGGGGCTGGGTGGGGAGTAAACGTACTTCATTCTCGATGTCGATGATGGACTTTATGATGATGGACGATATGTCCATCCCGTGAGCCTGCGACACACACGCACACAAAGACAAAGATCCTCCGTGTAGCCCTAACAGACTGTAGGGGTAAGTGCTGTTAGCGAGCACCTATGAAGGCCAGCACGGCACACGAGGGGGTGGGTGGTCAGCACCACGCCAGATCCGCCTTTGTCTCCCCAGTGGCGATGTTTACACACCGCACCAGGTACTAACTTTGAGGCCGAGTCTACCTAGGGGAGGCCCAGATTATCTGAACCAGGACCGGTTCAGATAATCGTCACTGGTGTTTGCCGTGAGCGGGAATCGAACCAGAGTCCCCGGGTTCGTAGTGCAGCGCGCTAACTGCTACACTACCGCTCCCCACACGCACACACACACACACGCACACACACACGCGTGCGCACACACACACACACACGTACACACGCGTACACGCACACACGCGTACACGCACACACACACGCGTACACGCACACACACACACACACACGCGTACACGCACGCGTACACGCACGCGTACACGCACGCGTACACGCACACGCGCGTACACACACGCACACGCACACGCACACACGTACACGCACACACACACACGCGTACACACGCGCGTACACACACGCACACACACACACGCGCGTACACACACGTACACACACACGTACACGCACACACACACACGCGCACACACACACACACGCACACACACACACGCGTACACACGCGCGTACGCACACACACACACGCGCGTGCACACACGCACGCACACACACACACACACACGCGTACACACACACGCGTACACGCACACGCGTACACACACACGCGTACACACACACGCGTACACGCACACACACAGCCGCGACGTGGATCCACTGCTGGATGAGAGTCTCTCCTCCGTGGTCAAGTCAGCCGTGATGGTCGCAACGCCGGTGGTGGTCGTGGTGGTCGTGGTAGACTGAGCGTTAGACTGAGTGTTAGACTGAGTGTTAGGCTGAGTGTTACGCTGAGCATGAGACTGAGCGTTAGACTGAGTGTTAGGCTGAGCGTTAGACTGAGCGTTAGGCTGAGCGTTAGACTGAGCGTTAGACTGAGCGTTAGACTGAGAGTTAGACTGAGAGTTAGACTGAGCGTTAGACTGAGCGTTAGACTGAGAGTTAGACTGAGAGTTAGACTGAGCGTTAGGCTGAGTGTTAGGCTGAGTGTTAGGCTGAGTGTTAGGCTGAGTGTTAGGCTGAGCGTTAGGCTGAGTGTTAGGCTGAGCGTTAGGCTGAGCGTTAGACTGAGTGTTAGACCGAGCATGAGACTGAGTGTTAGGCTGAGTGTTAGGCTGAGTGTTAGACTGAGTGTTAGGCTGAGCGTTAGGCTGAGTGTTAGGCTGAGCGTTAGACTGAGTGTTAGACCGAGCATGAGACTGAGTGTTAGGCTGAGTGTTAGGCTGAGTGTTAGGCTGAGTGTTAGGCTGAGTGTTAGACCGAGCATGAGACTGAGTGTTAGGCTGAGCATGAGACTGAGTGTTAGACTGAGCGTTAGACTGAGCGTTAGACTGAGCGTTAGGCTGAGCGTTAGGCTGAGTGTTAGACCGAGCATGAGACCGAGTGTTAGGCTGAGCGAGCGAGGGGTTGGGATCCAAGCGAGGGGGGTACTCGTGCATCGACAACCGCTCACGTTTCTGGAGGCTGTGTCGTACTTCTCGCTCAGGACAAACGGGACCCCGTCTATCGCTGCGGGGAGACAGGCACGGACGCACGCGTTAGGGACTGCACTTTCAAGACAGGCAGTTCGCTCGCTCAGAGGTCAGGTGGTCGCTGGGTTACAATACCGGTTCCAGCCACACACCCACCCACGGCTACACCGGGTTCTCACGTGCGGCCCGTAGACTCACACACAGAGACCTACAGACACACACAGAGACCCACAGACACACACAGAGACCCACAGACTCACACAGAGACCCACAGACTCACACAGAGACCCACAGACACACACAGAGACCCACAGACACACACAGAGACCCGTAGACTCGTGCACAGACACAGACTCACACGGAGACCCACTCACATCGAGACCCGTAGACTCACACAGAGACCCACAGACTCACACAGAGACCCACAGACTCACACAGAGACCCACAGACTCACACAGAGACCCACAGACACACACAGAGACCCGTAGACTCACACACAGACCCATAGACTCACACACAGCCCCAATCACATCGAGACCCGTAGACACACACAGAGACCCACACACACACAGACCCGTAGACTCACGCAGAGGCCCACTCACATCGAGACCCACAGACACACACAGAGACCCGTAGACTTACGCACAGACCCACTCACACCGAGACCCATAGACTCACACAGAGACCCACAGACACACACAGAGACCCGTAGACTCGCGCAGAGGCCCACTCACATCGAGACCCACAGACACACACAGAGACCCGTAGACTTACGCACAGACCCACTCACATCGAGACCCGTAGACTCACACAGAGACCCACAGACACACACACAGACCCGTAGACTCGTACACAGACACACACACAGACCCGTAGACTTACACAGAGACCCACAGACACACACAAAGACCCGTAGACTCATGCACAGACCCACTCCCGGAGACTCACACAGAGACCCACAGACACACACAGAGACCCGTAGACTCACGCACAGACCCACTCACATCGAGACCCGTAGACTCACACAGAGACCCACAGACACACACAGAGACCCGTAGACTCACACAGAGACCCACGGACACACACAGAGACCCACAGACACACACAGAGACCCGTAGACTCATGCACAGACCCACTCACATAGACCCAAATAGAAACCCATAAGACTCACACAGAGATCCACTCAAATAAAGACACACAGACTCACAAACATATCCATATACTCGGACCTATAGAGGCTCACATAGATTGGGTTGTGATTAAACTGGGTTCCCAAGTGTGTTAGCTTATTGGGTCTCTTTGAGAGTCTACGGGTCTCTACGTTAATCAACGGTGGCCGGACTGACGTAGAGACCCCATCAACTCGCGTAGAGGCACATGGCTTCACATAGACGCCCCGTGGTTCGTGGTCTGAGACTGGTCAGCAAAAATTTCCCCCCAAAAAATGAAACGCATCATATTCCGTGCATGTGCATGCATAATGTACGTTTATTACCATATAAATAACCCAACCGGCAATGGATACCCATTCTCATTTATATGCATTCATGAATCCCATCCCCCCCCCCACTTTGCTCAAGAAGGGATTCACAAGTGACGTCATCACATCTCTACCCCTTTCGTGACTGCAGGGATTCATCTTCTTGGTTCTTTCGGTAAAGTCACGTAGAAGGGAAATAATAAAATAATAAAACATCATAAAATACAATTCTCACGACGTTTCGGCCACAACGCAAGCAGCCGTCCTCAGGTGAAGAACAGGTCTGTCAGACGCTGTCTTTCCGACAGACCTGAGAATTGTATAACAAAATAAAATTCTCACGACGTTTCGGCCACAACGCAAGCAGCCGTCCTCAGGTGAAGAGCAGGGCTGTCGGAAAGACAGCCGTCCTAATCATTAGGACTGGAGGCGTGGGGCGTCCCGTTCACCGCCGAATCTCGTGAGCGTGCGGGCAGCTGGCCATTAACTCTACTTAGAGCGGCGTAGTGGCGGCAGCGCCGCTGGTCTTTAACCGACGTCGTTACTCGCCGCAGAGAACCGTAACGACACGGCGGCCGCCACCCTCTCTACGACAGCCGGCGCCAAAACGGTTTCAAAACGGTGCCCCCCCCACTCCCCTCCCGCGTGGTCTTGTTCTTCCGATTCTGTACCGATGACGCACGTACGGAAGCAGAAGAAAAACTGACGGCCTAAGCGTATGTACGCGAGCGTCATCCGAATGTGAAAGGGTTCATTGTGGGCCGAAATCCAGCGCCGAGAATTACAACTATCGAGGCGAGTATAAAGGCGCCTCTTCGATGCGCACGGGAGGGTAAGTCTGGCAAACCTTCGTGCGATCTTTAGCGTGAAAAAGGAGAGGCAGATTTGCCCGATAAAATTCGGCGCAAACAGCGTTCTGTGGCGACGGGGACGTAAATTACCGCGGTGGAATTCCCTCCCACCACCCCCACCACCTCCCCCACTCCGCCTCCCAAACTCAAATCACGGCACGGCGTTTCATTAACCTCCCCAGCAACAACAACAACCACATCATCAGCGGCGGCGGCGGCGACAATGCGGCAGCAACAATAATAATGCAGATAAATTTCAACGGCAGAGCGAGAAGGCAAGGAATTAAATCCTCAGCACATTAATGAATAGAATAATGAACAATACCGTCGCAAAACCTTTTCATCAATAATTCCAATTAGCGCGGCGAGGAAGCGATCTGGTTCGTGCGTGCGGCAAAATAAAAGAAATAAAAAAATGCGACGCGGGAGATAAAATTATACCGCGCGTGCCTTGTTTAACTTGCAAAGCACTCTGGGTATATTTTGTACACTCCCAAAGGGATTGTGGGAAGCGGAGGCTGCCTAATTAAGGGAAACGCCGCGCCACCCTTAATTGCGCCGCCGTCCGTTGGAGGCAAGCAGGAAGCAGTGCCGTGTGTGTCGTGCGTGTCGTACGTGTGTGTGTATCGTGCGTGTCGAGCGTGTGTGTGTATCGTGCGTGTCGTACGTGTGTGTGTATCGTGCGTGTCGTACGTGTGTGTGTATCGTGCGTGTCGAGCGTGTGTGTGTATCGTGCGTGTCGAGCGTGTGTGTGTATCGTGCGTGTCGAGCGTGTGTGTGTGTCGTGCGTGTCGAGCGTGTGTGTGTATCGTGCGTGTCGAGCGTGTGTGTGTGTCGTGCGTGTCGTACGTGTGTGTGTGTCGTGCGTGTCGAGCGTGTGTGTGTATCGTGCGTGTCGTACGTGTGTGTGTGTCGTGCGTGTCGAGCGTGTGTGTGTATCGTGCGTGTCGTACGTGTGTGTGTGTCGTGCGTGTCGAGCGTGTGTGTGTATCGTGCGTGTCGTACGTGTGTGTGTATCGTGCGTGTCGTGCGTGTGTGTGTATCGTGCGTGTCGTGCGTGTGTGTATCGTGCGTGTCGTGCGTGTGTGTGTATCGTGCGTGTCGAGCGTGTGTGTGTATCGTGCGTGTCGTACGTGTGTGTGTATCGTGCGTGTCGTACGTGTGTGTGTGTCGTGCGTGTCGAGCGTGTGTGTGTATCGTGCGTGTCGTACGTGTGTGTGTATCGTGCGTGTCGTGCGTGTGTGTGTATCGTGCGTGTCGTGCGTGTGTGTGTATCGTGCGTGTCGTGCGTGTGTGTGTATCGTGCGTGTCGAGCGTGTGTGTGTGTCGTGCGTGTCGTACGTGTGTGTGTGTCGTGCGTGTCGTACGTGTGTGTGTATCGTGCGTGTCGTACGTGTGTGTGTATCGTGCGTGTCGTACGTGTGTGTGTATCGTGCGTGTCGTACGTGTGTGTGTGTCGTGCGTGTCGTACGTGTGTGTGTGTCGTGCGTGTCGAGCGTGTGTGTGTATCGTGCGTGTCGAGCGTGTGTGTGTATCGTGCGTGTCGTACGTGTGTGTGTATCGTGCGTGTCGAGCGTGTGTGTGTATCGTGCGTGTCGTACGTGTGTGTGTATCGTGCGTGTCGAGCGTGTGTGTGTATCGTGCGTGTCGTACGTGTGTGTGTATCGTGCGTGTCGAGCGTGTGTGTCGTGCGTGTCGTACGTGTGTGTGTATCGTGCGTGTTGTACGTGTGTGTGTATCGTGCGTGTCGTACGTGTGTGTGTATCGTGCGTGTCGAGCGTGTGTGTGTATCGTGCGTGTCGAGCGTGTGTGTGTATCGTGCGTGTCGAGCGTGTGTGTGTATCGTGCGTGTCGAGCGTATGTGTGTATCGTGCGTGTCGAGCGTGTGTGTGTGTCGTGCGTGTCGTACGTGTGTGTGTCGTGCGTGTCGTACGTGTGTGTATCGTGCGTGTCGTACGTGTGTGTGTATCGTGCGTGTCGTACGTGTGTGTGTGTCGTGCGTGTCGTACGTGTGTGTGTGTCGTGCGTGTCGTACGTGTGTGTGTATCGTGCGTGTCGAGCGTGTGTGTGTATCGTGCGTGTCGAGCGTGTGTGTGTGTCGTGCGTGTCGTGCGTGTGTGTGTGTCGTGCGTGTCGAGCGTGTGTGTGTGTCGTGCGTGTCGTGCGTGTGTGTGTATCGTGCGTGTCGAGCGTGTGTGTGTGTCGTGCGTGTCGTACGTGTGTGTGTATCGTGCGTGTCGTACGTGTGTGTGTATCGTGCGTGTCGAGCGTGTGTGTGTATCGTGCGTGTCGAGCGTGTGTGTGTATCGTGCGTGTCGTACGTGTGTGTGTATCGTGCGTGTCGAGCGTGTGTGTGTGTCGTGCGTGTCGTACGTGTGTGTGTGTCGTGCGTGTCGAGCGTGTGTGTGTATCGTGCGTGTCGTACGTGTGTGTGTATCGTGCGTGTCGAGCGTGTGTGTGTATCGTGCGTGTCGAGCGTGTGTGTGTGTCGTGCGTGTCGAGCGTGTGTGTGTGTCGTGCGTGTCGTGCGTGTGTGTGTATCGTGCGTGTCGTACGTGTGTGTGTATCGTGCGTGTCGTACGTGTGTGTGTATCGTGCGTGTCGTACGTGTGTGTGTATCGTGCGTGTCGTACGTGTGTGTGTATCGTGCGTGTCGTACGTGTGTGTGTATCGTGCGTGTCGAGCGTGTGTGTGTATCGTGCGTGTCGTGCGTGTGTGTGTATCGTGCGTGTCGTACGTGTGTTGTGTATCGTGCGTGTCGTACGTGTGTGTGTATCGTGCGTGTCGTACGTGTGTGTGTATCGTGCGTGTCGTACGTGTGTGTGTATCGTGCGTGTCGTACGTGTGTGTGTATCGTGCGTGTCGTACGTGTGTGTGTATCGTGCGTGTCGTACGTGTGTGTGTATCGTGCGTGTCGTACGTTGTGTGTTGTATCGTGCGTGTCGTACGTGTGTGTGTATCGTGCGTGTCGAGCGTGTGTGTGTATCGTGCGTGTCGTACGTGTGTGTGTATCGTGCGTGTCGTACGTGTGTGTGTATCGTGCGTGTCGTACGTGTGTGTGTATCGTGCGTGTCGAGCGTGTGTGTGTATCGTGCGTGTCGTACGTGTGTGTGTATCGTGCGTGTCGGCGTGTGTGTGTATCGTGCGTGTCGTACGTGTGTGTGTATCGTGCGTGTCGTACGTGTGTGTGTATCGTGCGTGTCGAGCGTGTGTGTGTATCGTGCGTGTCGTACGTGTGTGTGTATCGTGCGTGTCGTACGTGTGTGTGTATCGTGCGTGTCGTACGTGTGTGTGTATCGTGCGTGTCGAGCGTGTGTGTGTATCGTGCGTGTCGTACGTGTGTGTGTATCGTGCGTGTCGTACGTGTGTGTGTATCGTGCGTGTCGTACGTGTGTGTGTATCGTGCGTGTCGTACGTGTGTGTGTATCGTGCGTGTCGTACGTGTGTGTGTATCGTGCGTGTCGAGCGTGTGTGTGTATCGTGCGTGTCGAGCGTGTGTGTGTATCGTGCGTGTCGTACGTGTGTGTGTGTCGTGCGTGTCGTACGTGTGTGTGTATCGTGCGTGTCGAGCGTGTGTGTGTATCGTGCGTGTTGTACGTGTGTGTGTATCGTGCGTGTCGTACGTGTGTGTGTATCGTGCGTGTCGTACGTGTGTGTGTATCGTGCGTGTCGTACGTGTGTGTGTATCGTGCGTGTCGTACGTGTGTGTGTATCGTGCGTGTCGAGCGTGTGTGTGTATCGTGCGTGTCGTACGTGTGTGTGTATCGTGCGTGTCGAGCGTGTGTGTGTATCGTGCGTGTCGAGCGTGTGTGTGTATCGTGCGTGTCGTACGTGTGTGTGTATCGTGCGTGTCGAGCGTGTGTGTGTGTGTCGTGCGTGTCGTACGTGTGTGTGTATCGTGCGTGTCGAGCGTGTGTGTGTATCGTGCGTGTCGAGCGTGTGTGTGTATCGTGCGTGTCGAGCGTGTGTGTGTATCGTGCGTGTCGAGCGTGTGTGTGTATCGTGCGTGTCGAGCGTGTGTGTGTATCGTGCGTGTCGTACGTGTGTGTGTATCGTGCGTGTCGAGCGTGTGTGTGTATCGTGCGTGTCGAGCGTGTGTGTGTATCGTGCGTGTCGAGCGTGTGTGTGTATCGTGCGTGTCGAGCGTGTGTGTGTATCGTGCGTGTCGAGCGTGTGTGTGTATCGTGCGTGTCGAGCGTGTGTGTGTATCGTGCGTGTCGAGCGTGTGTGTGTATCGTGCGTGTCGTACGTGTGTGTATCGTGCGTGTCGAGCGTGTGTGTGTGTCGTGCGTGTCGAGCGTGTGTGTGTGTATCGTGCGTGTCGAGCGTGTGTGTGTATCGTGCGTGTCGAGCGTGTGTGTGTATCGTGCGTGTCGAGCGTGTGTGTGTGTATCGTGCGTGTCGAGCGTGTGTGTGTATCGTGCGTGTCGAGCGTGTGTGTGTATCGTGCGTGTCGTACGTGTGTGTATCGTGCGTGTCGAGCGTGTGTGTGTGTCGTGCGTGTCGAGCGTGTGTGTGTGTGTCGTGCGTGTCGAGCGTGTGTGTGTATCGTGCGTGTCGAGCGTGTGTGCCGTGCGCGTCTTGCAGTCGAAGGACACGTCGAGGAGGGACCACGTCTCACCCCGGTGGGCCCCACGCCGCCGACGGGGACGGGCGACGCCGTTAATTTGCGCCGTTTTATTTAAACCATTAACCCCTTTCCCCGCTCAACCCCCCCCCCCCCTCCAGTTATCGAAATGTCTGCAAGTTGTAGGGTGTGGGGATCTCTCGGAACGCCGCGAGCGGTTCGCCCGTTAGTTTTTTTATTTAGAGGAGGCGGAGTAGCGCCGTTGTTTTTATTTAAAAAGACGTCGTATTCGCAGGAGGGAACCGCAATGCTGCGAAACCAAACTGTGGCAGACGCCCCTCCCGCACGGCCTTGATAGGAGCCTCGGTACCGATAAAGTTAATTTTATTTTATACACAAGAGGTTTTTTTTATTTTTTGTTTATTTTTGTTGTTCTTGACGTACATTACGTCATCGAAACGGGGGAGGGTTAAGCGCGAACAAACAAAAACATTTCGAGCACGTAAACGTTCCGTCCGACATGCTTTTACATTTTATTTTACTGGTAGGAACCTCCTGGTTACACCAGCCCACAGGGGATTATTGTGTCCGTCGAGCTGGGTGGGGAGGGTGGGGATGGTGAAGAGGGGAGGGTGGGGAGGGTGGGGAGAGGCTGGGTGGGGAGGGTGGGGAGGGGCTGGATGGGGAGGGGAGGGGCTGGGTGGGGAGGGGCTGGTCACCCCGTGGTGCCCTTATAAAACTCAACGTTTAACCTACTCACGCCGGCTTGTGCCCGCCCTCACAGTCGGGCATATTTGCGGAATACACCACGCCTTGGCCGTTGACCCTGGCCATTGACCGAGCAACCCAACGTTCCTACCAGCTCCCTCCGCAGCAGGAATGTGTTACTATTCATTCCACGCATTTGTTACGTTTTACAAGCGAGACCGAAAGCGTTGGTGCATTATCGTATGCGTTTGTATACTGGGGTGTACGTTGAACTTCCTTCGCACCGTACGTAGCCAATCGCCCTCATCGGAGGGGCGGGGGGTAGGACAACGAACCGCTCGTGCAAGAGAACGCATTAAACGCGTTCTCTGCAATTCCCACGTAGGTCTGTCTCGCTCTCTCGGCGAAGAAAAAAAATACGTGGCAGGACCGTGGCAATTACGCACGAGATGGTTTCTTATCGTGCGGGGAGCCCGGACCAGGGATCACGGCGGCTCATTATTTAATCCACATTAATTCGCAAAATGAGAGTGCGGAATAATGCGTTTGCATATCCCTCCCCCCCCCACACACAAACCCCACCAGCCCAACCCCCCCCCCCCCCTCTCTCTCTCTCACCGGCCTTTCTCCAGAGGTCGTGATGGGTGTGGGGGGAGAGAGGGGTGGAAAAAAAAAAGTGCCAATCTGTGCTTTCAAGCCCACTCCCTTTCATCGCTTTGTTCCGAGATTTAATTAGCTTTCGAACGTTAACGTTCTCGCGTTTCGACGTGGAGGCTTTTATTCAGATTTTTTAATAATATACATTTTTGTAATTTTTGTAATTTTTTTCCCAGAGACCCCTACCGCGTTGAGCGAGGAATCGCGTGCCGCGATCAAGGCCAAGCGTCGACTGCGCACGTGCATGGCTCGGGTAAAAGCGAGTGTGGTTTTTGGGTTCAAAACGGAGAAAGAATTTTACATATAAAACACACTTTGTATATATTCTTGGTTCTTTCGGTAAAGTCACGTAGAAGGGAAATAATAAAATAATAAAAATAAAACTTTATAAAAATCTCACGACGTTTCGGCCACAACGCAAGCAGCCATCCCTCAGATAAAGAAACAGGTGTGTCGGAAGGACAGTGCTCCAATTAACACTGCTAAGCTTGGCAGCGTATTTTAAGCTGGGTCGGAGAAGGAGAGAGTCACTGGTGAGTTACCGTTTGTCACTCATTTCGGGTAGGGTACGGGTACGGGTAGGGAACGGCTACCCGTACCCGGCCGGGTACGGGTACGGGTACCCGTTTGCGACCCTGGTGCGGCCGGGTACGACTACGGGTAGGCCGTGAGTCACTGATGAGTCACCATTTGTCACTCATTTCCCAACGTCTTGTCTCTTCTCACAATTCAAGTTCCTAGAATCAACCCACCCGCGCCTGCAACATGGCTTCATCCCAGAGGTCGCAATCGGCTACCCGATACCCGTACCCTACCCGTACTCAGCCGGGTACGGGTAGCCGGGTATCGGGTAGGGTACGGGTACCCAATTGCGACCCTGGTGCGGCCGGGTACGGGTACGGGTAAGGAATCAAAACCCGTTTGCGACCTCTGCTCACTGCTCACCGGTTATGCCGTAGATGTTGTCCGCACCGTTGCGCTGAGTGTGCCCCATGGACAGGGGGAGACCCTTCTTGAAACTCGACGGCAGGGTCAGAGACTTTTGACTGCAGGCAATCAACGGAGCGGGGCGGGGGGAGGGTGGGGAGCACGGAATGAACGAATTAATGAAATCGCATCACGGCCCGGGCTTACGATCCGTAAAACTCGTGAATGGCATCTCTTACGAAAGACCCAAAGCGGAAGATCCCCCTCTGGGAGTTTGACTTTCAACGAGGCTGCCCACGGTCCACTCTAAAACGCACCCACTGCGCAAACCGTGGCGGCAGCAGTAGATGCGGGCGATGCCTGATGCACAAACGGAACATTTAAAACTCTCCAGCAGCAGTAGTGATGGTGCGACCGTGGTCATCCAGAACAGAGAGCGGAGTACAACAACGAGCGACGATGCAATGCCCGCAAACACGAAGGAGACATCACGGCGGCGATGATGACGACGATGATGACGATGATGATGATGATGATGATACGACTACTCCGCTGGCTCCTAACGTGGTTGTCTGGCTTGACCCACACGAATGCGAAACTGTTGGCTCTGCATCTGTGTCAGCAGTGGTACGAAAGAAGACTAAGAATTGCCAAAGAGGTCACCGACACCAACCTGAGGGCGAGCGAGCGAGCGCTTGGGTCGCGCAATTCCCCATTTCACGTGGCAGTAGCCGCGTTTCTGTCAAAGGTTCTACGTTTAAGCGATTAATTACAGCACACCAACCTCCGTACGCATACTGGGCGTCTGTGATACAGAGCTTCAGTGCTCATCGGATTCTTTCCTGCAGTTGAAATAAAGATTCCGATTCTGACTGTGCATGCATTACTGCGCCCCGAGTTCGATTCCCGCTCACGGCCAACACCAGTGACGATTATCTGAACCGGTCCTGGGCCCTCCCCTAGGTCGACTCGGCCTCAAATGAGTACCTGGTGCGGTGTGTGACCATTGCCGCTAGGAAGACAAAGACGCCCGGGCGTGGTGCTGGCCACCCACCCCCTCGTGCGCCGTGCCGGCCTTCTTAGGTGCTACTCGCTAACAGCACTTGCCCCTACAGTCTGTTAAGGCAATGCGGTGGATCTTTGTCTTTGTGCCGAGGCAGGCAGTACGTACTGTGACAAGCTGGGTCAGTACGTTCTGTGTCAGTCAGCGCTGTGTGTGTGTGTGCTCAGGCAGTACGTACTGTGACAAGCTGCTCAGTACGTACTGTGACAAGCTGGGTCAGTAAGTACTGTGTCAGTCAGCGCTGTGTGTGTGCTCAGGCAGGCAGTACGTACTGTGACAGTAAGCGCTGTGTGTGTGTGTGCTCAGGCAGGCAGTACGTACTGTGACAGCGTTGTGTGTATGTGCGCTCAGGCAGTACGTACTCTGACAAGCTGCTCAGTACGTACTGTGGCAGTCAGCGCTGTGTGTGTGTGTGCCGAGGCAGGCAGTACGTACTGTGGCAGTAAGCGCTGTGTGTGTGCGCTCAGGCAGTACGTACTGTGACAAGCTGCTCAGTACGTACTGTGGCAGGTTGGGGTGAGGTGTCGACTGCTGTTGGAGTGCCGCCGATGCCGTCGCCGCTGCGCCGTCGATCGTCGTCCCCATGGCCGCCTCCTTCCTCGCGGGAGCCGGGACGACCTTGGGAACCCGGCCCATGCGGTACCAGATCCGCATTCCGTTGGTCTCCCTGGGCAACGGAGGACGCGGGGTCATCGTCGTCAGCGTCAACGTTCAAATCGTTGTCATCGTCACGATTATCATGACCGCCATCATCATCATCATCACGTAAATGAAACTAAACTATTGTTTATTTTAGCAGGTAAGGCTCCACTGCAGAAGCGACGTGGCCATCACCAATGATAGCTCAACGAAGTGACTTGTCACGTCTGATGATGGCGACGATGATGACGGTTTGGATGACGGTTTGGATGACGGTTTGGATGACGCTTTGGATGACGCTTTGGATGACGCTTTGGATGACGGTTTGGATGACGGTTTGGATGACGCTTTGGATGACGCTTTGGATGACGCTTTGGATGACGGTTTGGATGACGGTTTGGATGATGACGGTTTGGATGATGACGGTCGGGATGGCGGTTTGGATGACGACGGTTTGGATGACGACGGTTTGGATGACGACGGTTTGGATGATGACGGTTTGGATGATGACGGTTTGGATGATGACGGTTTGGATGACGACGGTTTGGATGACGACGGTTTGGATGACAATGGTTTGGATGATGGCGACGATGATGGCGCCACTCACCCGATGAAGGTGTACTGTGACGGGATCTGCTTGGGCTTGCCGCTAACGATGATGTCCGTGATGGCCGCCTCCGTGGACTCGCGAGGGATGAGCTGGACGCACAGTCGCTTCTTCTTCAGCGCCGGCTCATCTGTCGCACAAAGACAAAGGTCCCTCGGCCGTGTAGCCTTTAACAGACCCTAGGAGCAAGTGCTGCTAGCGAGTAGCGAGCGCCTATGAAGGCCGGCACGGCGGACGAGGGGGTGGGAGGCCGGCACCACGCCAGGTCGCCTTTGTCTCACTACTACACACTACACTATACACTACACCACACCACACACCACACACCACACACTACACCACACACCACCACACACACGACACACACTACACCACACCACACACCACACCACACACACGACAAACACTACACACTATACCACACCACACACCACACCACACACTACACCACACACACTACCCCACACACGACACACACTACACACTATATCACACACTACACCACACCACACACTACACCACACCACACACACTACCCCACACAACACCACACACACCACACCAGGAGGCCCCAACCCCCGGGTCGCGGACCGGTACCGATCAAAGGCGGCCGGGCGTGGTGCTGGCCACCCAGCCCCTCATGTGCCGTGCTGCCCTTCATTGAGGCGCTCGCTAACAGCACTTGCCCCAACAGTCTGTTAAGGCTATAAGGAGGATCTTTACATTAACCACAAAAACTTGTGGTGAACATGCAAAAAAAAACATCCTCCGATATCATTATATGCATTGTCTTTGAAACTGCAGACACGATTCCTTGCAAAAGGTTTTAGTTGTTTTAACATCTTAACACCCGTGTTATTGCGGTAAAACCTATTTTTATATCTTGATAATGGCAAGGGGGGTCCCATGATCCACACACGATGGGTATAAACCTTACCGTGCGTTCCATAAACACGCGGCCTGTGTACATATCAACCTGTTCCGTGGATGTTTCGGATCACATTCGGTTTGTTTGCTAAACAACATTCTGTTGTCAAACGTACTAGCAACGTGCCCTTCTTCAACTACGCGTCTTTTTTTCCTCCCATTAAACAGCTGCCGTTGCGAGCTTGCTATCAAAACATCTAATTCACGATCTGAAAGAGATACAGTGATCCCTCGCCACTTCGCGGTTAAAGTTTCGCGGCCTCAGTGCATTGCGGATTTTTCAAACTGATTTAAAGGCCTCATTATACCTGTGCAGTAACACCATCATCATCATTCATCATCAGATTCATCGAACTGCACAGGTCTGTCATCGTCGTCATTGTCATCGTCATTGTCATCGTCGTCGTCATTACTGGTGAGTGTAGAACACCATAATACGTATCGTATGAGAGAGAGAGAGAGAATGAATGTATAATATTAAGGTTTTATAATTAAATAGATTTAAGTAAAATATATATATAAAGTATAAATATACATATTTTAAACATTCTGGTACCCACACACACATATACGGAAATTCCTAGGGGACCAATCCTACTTCGCGGATTTTCACCTATCCCGAGGGGTTCCGGTCCCCATTAACCGCGATAAACGAGGGATCACTGTAGATTTGTTTTTTTTTAAACTCTCCGCGAAGAATTGACACAGCCAATTAGTAAGGTTTGTCACGTGATGTGCCTACCCGTTACTAGTGTAGCACACACTTGTGAGTTGGAGAGTAGATCCACAACATTTACAACATTTACAATTTGAGTACGACTAGCGACAGACAGATTTGTGGTTTAACGACACATTTATTTTTAAGCGATCTAACCGAAAAATGGATATTGGTCGCGAAAGCTTACGTGTTAAACTACATTTTAATATTTCGATTTAAAGCTTTCGTGACTGCAGGGATTCATATTCTTGGGTATTTGGGTAAAGTCACCAAGGTGAAAATAAAAACTAAATCACGACGTTTCGGAGGCAACACAAGCCTCCGTCATCAGGTGGAACACAACCCCAGCAACATTTTTTTTACCGTAGTAGTTAATTTTATTTTCACCTACGTGACTTTACCGAAAGAACCAAAGAGTGTGGTGATCATTGCATTCAGGAAAACTTCACATCTAGAAGAAGATCACCTTCTTGGTTCTTTCCGTAAAGTCACGTAGAAGGGAAGTAATAAAATAATAAAAATAAAACATAATAAAACAATTCTCACGACGTTTCGGCCACAACGCAAGCAGCCGTCCTCAGGTGAAAACCAGGTCTGTCGAGGCGACAGCGTCTCTAATTCAGACGTCTCTAATTCAGACGCTGTCGCCTCGACAGACCTGGTTTTCACCCGAGGACGGCTGCTTGCGTTGTGGCCGAAACGTCGTGAGAATTATTTTATTATGTTTCATTTTTATCATTTTATTATTCCCTTCTACGTGACTTTACCGAAAGAACCAAGAAGATGAATCCCTGCAGTCACGAAAGCTTTAAATCGGAAGAAAATCACCGTTTAGCGATCTGCCAAACGTGGGTGGAACCGATGTCTCGTGCACACGACGGCTTCGCTCACTCACTTGTATCCAGCGTCTCGGACAAGGCAAAGAATCCTTGGGGCAGCGTCTCCTTCTCTCCGAGGAGCTTCAGATCGGCCAGCACGTTACTTGGGTAACCCTGACGACGACGACGACGACGAAATTAAAGGTGCACACAAAGATAAAGATCCCCCGTATAGCCTTGACAGACTGTAGGGGCAAGTGCTGTTAGCGAGTAGCACCTATGAAGGCCGGCACGGTACACGGACGAGTGGGTGTGTGGCCAGCACCACGCCCGACCGCCTTTGTCTCCCCAGTGGCGATGTGTACACACCGCACCAGGTACTCATTTAAGGCTGAGTCGACCTAGGGGAGGCCCAGGATCGGTTCAAATAATCGCACACTGGTGTTAGCCGTGAGCGGCTATAGCGCAGCGCGCTAACCGCTGCACTACCGCTCCCCATAAGGTGCACACAGACACGCACTCAGACACACACACACACACACAGACACACACGTACGTGGACTCAGAGGTGGATCGGGTGGCACGCTACGGACAAAAACGCGAAAGAACGAAATCGAGAAAGAAAAAAACCTCACAAGCCCGGTGGATAGAGGGCGCGTGGGACGGGGTTTTGGTAAGCGGCGTTCGCCAAACAATAAGCGGGAACACCGGTGGGTAGCAGCAAGAAGAGTTGACGCGATCGCCATCGCAAGAGGCCGCACGTTTTTTGCGCCAACGGTCCTCCGCTGACTGCGCGTGATGAACGAATGAGTTCACACGCACGTACGCCAGAGGTCGCAAACGGGTTTTGATTCCTTACCCGTACCCGGCCGCACCAGGGTCGCAAACGGGTACCCGTACCCTACCCGTACCCTACCCGAAATGAGTGACAAACGGTTACTCACCAGTGACTCACGGCCTACCCGTACCCGTACCCGGCTGCACCAGGGTCGCAAACGGCTACCCGTACCCAGCCGGGTACGGGTAGCCGGGTATCGGGTAAGGTACGGGTATCGGGTACCCGGTTGCGACCTCTGGCGTACGCATGCACGCTACCGTAATTAGCGTCATCATCACCACCATCATTGTCATCACCACCACCATGTTACGTAAGACGGATGAAATCGGCAGTGCCACCTAAAATGGACAAATTCTACTGTTAATGTTAATCATGGATTCACTCCTTTGGAACCTCCTTTTGCCAGTAGCAAAATATGATAATTGGTTTTTACCCTTTTATCTGGCAACAAAACTTACACCTTTTTTACGAGGAGTCATGTTTGCATTGACCACAATACCTGCGGTCGGAATGCATGTGAAACTAGGCTCTAAGAAAAGCTGTCTCGGGTGTAGACCAATCAATTTCAAGGACACTGCATACATTATCAGAGTTTTGTTTTTTGTTTGTATTCCGACCGCATGTATTGTGGTCAATGCAAACATGACTCCTTGTAAAAAAAGGTGTCAGTTTTGTCGCCAGATAAAAGGGTGAAAAACCAATTATCAATGTATTCACTCTCAAGAGAGAGAGAATGACTCCGAGAGGTAGGTATGTATGTTGAGCTTCTTTCGCACCGTACCTAAGCAAAACGGGCTAATCGGGCATGCATGGACTAAGGAACGCACAATTATGTTTAAAAATAATGAAGTTGCATGGTAATTTCGCTAATCAACTGCTGGAATGGTAAACTACGTCCACAGCCACATTTTGTGCCATTGTCTTTTTTATGGTGTGTGTGCTGTCATCAGTGGTGACTGGGCCTCTGTGCGAGTCTACGGGCCTCTGTGCGAGTCTACGGGCCTCTGTGCGAGTCTACGGGCCTCTGTGCGAGTCTACGGGCCTCTGTGCGAGTCTACGGGCCTCTGTGCGAGTCTACGGGTCTCTGTGCGAGTCTACGGGTCTCTGTGCGAGTCTACGGGTCTCTGTGCGAGTCTACGGGTCTCTGTGCGAGTCTACGGGTCTCTGTGCGAGTCTACGGGTCTCTGTGCGAGTCTACGGGTCTCTGTGCGAGTCTACGGGTCTCTGTGCGAGTCTACGGGTCTCTGTGCGAGTCTACGGGTCTCTGTGCGAGTCTACGGGTCTCTGTGCGAGTCTACGGGTCTCTGTGCGAGTCTACGGGTCTCTGTGCGAGTCTACGGGTCTCTGTGCGAGTCTACGGGTCTCCGTGCGAGTCTACGGGTCTCCGTGCGAGTCTACGGGTCTCCGTGCGAGTCTACGGGTCTCCGTGCGAGTCTACGGGTCTCCGTGCGAGTAAGTCATTGGTGACTGGCTGACTCCAGGATTCGAACCACGGTGGCTAGGAGATGTTAACTACCTCGCCTGGTATACATGAGGTCGTGGGTTCGATCTCGACCCTGATGCCTGCTGCTGTGTATTTGGAGTTTGAATGTTCTCCCCGTGGTCCCGTAGATCTTTCTCCGGGTCCTCCGGTTTTTCTCCTCCACATTTAGAATAAACGTCGCGAGTTCATCGGAATATTTGGCTGCTGCTCTACATTTCCACGATGCCGATGATAAGCCCCCCCCCCACTTCGTTGAGCCATCATTCGCGATATAGCCGTGTCGGTTAGCGGGGCCCTATCCGATAAAATAAAAAAATAGTTAAAAATCTTTATCTTCTTGGTTCTTTCGGTCAAGCCACGTAGAAGGGAAGTAATAAAATAATAAAAATAAAACATAATAAAACAATTCTCACGACGTTTCGGCTACAACGCAAGCAGCCGTCTTCAGGTGAAGAATGAGACACTGCCAAGCTTGGAGCTTATATATAAGCTGGGTTGGAGGTGGAAGAAGAAGAGCGCCTTAACAAAAGAATGTGCATATGAAGAGGAATTTAGCATATTCATGGGAAATGCGTAGGAGGTGGGCGGGGGGGTTTCAAGGCGCTCTTCCACCTCCAACCCAGCTTATATATAAGCTCCTAGCTTGGCAGTGTCTCATTCTTCACCTGAAGACAGCTGCTTGCGTTGTAGCCGAAACGTCGTGAGAATTGTTTTATTATGTTTTATTTTTATAATTTTATTACTTCCCTTCTACGTGATGACTTTACCGAAAAAACCAAGAAGATGAATCTTTACTTCGTTATTTAGAAACCCAGGATTTCAGCGGCACGGCCTCAGCGACTCCAGACCTCCGATACGCCCGGCCACCTCGGGGTTGGGCCTCTTGTACGCCATTACGAGGTTCTGGCGATTGAAGGGAAGCCGTTGTTCTCAGGGTCAGGAGGAGGGGGGGGGAGGGAGGCAAGCCTCATCCCGACGCTGACACCAGAGGTCTCAGATTCTCACCGTGACGTCACGCATGCGTGAGGACGACCGAACACGAGCGGAGGTGCACAGCCAAGATGAACGCCTCGGGGTGACGACAAGTCGATCATTTTTTGTACTTTCACACACGCAGGCCTTTTCACGGCCCAAAATTACGGTTTGTAATTTGCGTTGCTTTCCGGGTTAATTCGGCGTGTGAATAAATGCGTTGCTGTAAATCCCTCCGGCACGGCCAATTAATAAAGGAGGTGTCACGTGAAAAACTAAAGTATTTAAACACATTTTTTTTATATGACCAGGTCACAGGCCCGCTATCACGAATGATAGCTCAACGAAGTGGCTGATAATCGTCACGTGGAAATTTGTAGCGGCCCAACACTCTGGACGAGTGATGTTGATCCTAAATGCGGAGAAAAATCCACACGACCCCGGGGAGAGAGAGAGAGACACGCAAACTCCAAATAAACAGATGTTAGTGTTGGAATCAAACCCACGACCTCCTGTGTACCAGGCGAGGTAGTGTGTGGGTTTCCTCCCACCTCTTCTTCCGTGATGTGGCATGGAAGAGTAGGCCAAATGCCCTCCACAGGGAGCTCTCACCTTGAGCTCCCCCTCGACTGGCGGAGGCCTCTTCTGCCAGCGGTGGTGCGAGTAAGAAATTGCAGGGGCTGTGCCTTTGTCTTTAAATGTTTATAATTTTTTTAAAATTCTTATATTTTTATTTTCTTATTATTTTTACTTCACGACCGATGAAGGCGGTCGCGGCTGTGACGCGTCTCCGATTTCTGGTCTCTTCTCCCGCAAGATTATTTATTGAAAGCGCCCGAAACATTATCCTGCTCAGAGACACCAAGTCCACGCTTTTGAAACGGCCAATTGTTTCTGCAGTGACGCCCTTCACTCACTCACACGCCACACACACGCACACGCGGTTGTCCGACACAGGGTGTGATTATAGAGCACCATCCGTATGCGTGTTGTGTGCGTGTGTGAACACACACGGGGGGGGAGTGGTGGTGCAGCGGTTAGCGCGCTGCGCTACGAACCCGGCGGCCCGAGTTCGATTCCCGTTCATGGCGAATACCACCGATGACAATTACCTGAACCGGTTCTGGGCCTCCCCTAGGTCGACTCGGACTCAAATGAGTACATGGCGTGGTGTGTAAACCTCACCGCTGGGGAGACAGTCGGCCGGGCGTGGCGCTGGCCACCCACCCCCTCGTGTGCCGTTGCCGGCCTTAACAGGTGCTCGCTAACAGCACTTGCCCCAACAGTCTGTTACAGGCTATGGCGGGGGAGGTTGTTGTCTTTGCGTGCGAGTGCTCACATTGTTGTGAGGGCGGAGGCGCGTGTAGCACAGGTAACGGCTCGTCTTTGCCCGGAACAGTCCGTCCTTCCACAGATCCGCATCAGAGCCTTCCATCGTGCGAGCGATCTAAGCACAAGGCGGGAGGGTAAAAATCACACGCGCGCACAACGCAATGGACAGACACGTTAACACGTGTGTGTGTGTGTGACAAATACATCGTCCCCGATGCACGGCATACACAGGGCTCAATTTCAAATCTGCAAATGACGACCAAGCTCATCGCAATAGAAAAATGAGTGCAGGCTGGACAACGGAAAACGATTTAACAACGCACAGAGATAAGGACGATGGCTTTTTTTTTACATGCTACGCTCATCTGCGCGTTCTTCAATCTACCTGCACAAACATCTTTGTCTCCCTCCCCGTGTCGACATTGACACCACATCGCGCCAAGGGATTCATTTATTAATGTGGAGTCTACCTCGGGGAGAGCCCAGGATCGGTTCGGATATTGGCCGTGAGCGGCGATCGAACGCGGGTCAGCGGGTTCGTAGCAGAGGTCGCAAACGGGTTTTGATTCCTTACCCGTACCCGTACCCGGCCGCACCAGGGTCGCAAACGGGTACCCGTACACGTACCCGATACCCGGCTACCCGTACCCGGGATACAGTAATTTTGCTGTGACGGTTCCACGTGAAGACGGAGGCTTGTGTTGCCTCCGAAACGTCGTGATTTAATTGAGATGTTTTTCTTTTTAAACTAGGTTACATTTAAATTTCGATTTAAAGCTTTCGTGACTGCAGGGATTCGTCTTCTTGGTTCTTTCGGTAAAGTCATCACGTAGAAGGGAAATAATAAAGTAATAAAAATAAAACAAAATAAAATAATTCTCACGACGTTTCGGCCACAACGCAAGCAGCCGTCCCTCGGGTGAAGAACAGCTCTGTCGGGAAGACAGCGTCTGAATGGGCACCACCACGCTAGGTTACATTTGTCCCGCGCGTGTCGAGTGACGAACAAATCACTTCAACAAACAAAAAAAGTGATCAAAATTAATTACCTTCAAAAGTGTCGATCCAGCTCGTACTGGGATCGTTTTCGACTGGCGAGATAATTTTTGTTCCTTTCAAATTTGTACAACGCGCGACATGAAATCAGCCCGCCAGCCCGCCCGCCCGCACGCCCCGGCATTTGGAGCGTAACAACCAGCGCGTGGCCCAGTCTTTAAATAAAATTAACCCGTAAAAACAAAGTTTTTCATTATAAATCCTTTATATGCGTGGCGGCTAGAGTCCTCTCGTCCTCTGGCTTGAGATGGCTGCCACCTATGGGTCAGATGATTGTGTGCCAGCATTAACCAATTGGTAAATAAATATAAAAAAAATTTTCCCTAAACAGTGTAAAATTTTTGAAAATTTTTTTCATGAAAATTCATTGTCACGCACAACGAGACTGTGTGCAAAATGTCAGCTCGATTGGATCACGGGAAGTGGGTTAAAAAACGACCGAAAGATTTGCACGGTCGTAAGCAAGCAAGCAAGCGAACTTAATATAAAGGATTTAAAAAATAAACAATCGCTTTTAGTTCTGAACGGACAACGACGCTGGTCTCATTTTCACCTCGTTCCGTTGAGTGTTTAATGGAATCAGCAGGAGCCAACCCACAGACGCCTTTCTTCCGTTCCGATGGGCCGCCCGTAACAACGAACGATAACACCATTGGAACCTCATTTGCCAGTAAAAAATATGATAATTGTTTTTTTACCCTTCCATCTGGCAACAAAACTAACACCTTTTTTACAAGGAGTCATGTTTGCATTGACCACAATACCTGCAGTCATAATGCAAACAAAAAACATAACTCTGATAATGTGCACTGTCCTTGAAGTTGATTGGTCCACACCCGAGACAGCTTTCCTTAGAGCCTAGTCTCACATGGTGTTGGATCAGATGACGCCAAAAGGCGCACAACTCAAAGACAATGCACCATCAGAGTATGAGAGCTCGGGGTAAGCATTTACACCATTGGAACCTCATTTGCCAGTAAAAAATATGATAATTGGTTTTTTATCCTTCTATCTGGCAACAAAACTGACACCTTTTTTACAAGGAGTCATGTTTGTCAGTAAAAAAACAATTATCAACGAACGATAATTAGTACAAGTTAATCTTTTTTTTGCGCTTTCGCACGCGACCCGATATCGCGGTCCGTAATTTGCGTTTCTTTTCGGTGAGTTTATGCCGCGTAAACAAACGCCTGTTGTGAACCCCTCCCTCCCTGCCACCCCGATAAAGCCCAATTAATAAAGGTGTCACGCGAATTGGACGTGCAAAATGAATCGCTGCTTCAGCGGCAACCCCCACCGGTGCCCGTTTATATCTGCGGGACCCTTTCTGTCGGTATCCAGATGATGAAAGAAAACAAAAACTGAAAATTAGGCTTCATTACGCCTTTCCGGCAAGGAATACGGAAGGTGTTAAGATGTTCAAACTCCAAATAAACACCCACTGCACGTTTGGCACCTCCGATTAGCACGCTCAGAAAGAGGTTCAACATACATACGTACATAGCAAGGCATCGGAGTCTGCGCTAACCACACGGCATGCCTGTTGTAAAGGATGCAAAACAAGCGTGCGCTTTGATAACACTGGTCAACACACTTTTTCTGGCATAAGGTATTCCAACGGTTTTAATGTAATTTTGGGGTGCCGATTCCAAATCTGGCATCAGTTTTTGTCTATCACATCAGGTTTTTGAGATATCAAATATTGCATTTTAAAAAAAAACTGCGGAAGAAAAATATTAAATAAATGTGGATATCTACATAAAATGATATTATAAACGCACTATCCTAAAAATACAGCACCGTATTTTAACACTAAAGCAGTCACTGACTCGCAACAACTTGCAATCATAAGTGACAGAGTTAACTTCGGGTAAAATCAATGAAAATGGGGTATGCCGATAGCATAATAAGTATAACCCGTAAAAACAAAGTTTTTCACTCTAAATCCTTTATATGCATGGCGGCTAGAGTCCTCTCGTCCTCTGGCTTGAGATGGCTGCCACCTATGGGTCAGATGATTGCCTGCCACCATTAAGCAATTGGTAAATAAATATAAAAAAAAATCCTACAAAGTGTAAACATTTGGAGACACCACGGTCGTAAGTGCGCAAGCAAGCAAGCGAACTTAATATAAAGGATTTAAAAATGAGATGTGATAGAGCAAATCTGAGATCAGATTTGGAATCAGCACCCTGAAATGTGTCAAACAGCTGCAAAAGTCCAGGACAGAAAAAAAAATGTTTTGTTTTTGTTGACCAGTGTAATCATTGTCCCTGAAAATGATTGGCCTAAACCAGAGTCACATGCCCATTCATGTGATTGTCTCACCGTGTTAGGTAAGAGAACGCCAAAGGGCGAAAAGCGTCAAGGCAAAGCAAATATCAAACAATCAAGAGCTTGGGTTGAGCTATTACGTACCGTGCAAAAGAAGTTCAATACACACATAAATACGTACACAGAGATACATAGAGAACAATTGAGATACACAGTTATAACTGTGTAAGAAACATATTTTGCTACTGGCAAAGGAGGTTCCAATGGTGTAAATGCTTACCCCGAGCTCTCATACTCTGATGGTGCATTGACTTTGAGTTGTGCCCCTTTTTCGCGTCATCTGGTCCAACACCATGTAAGACTAGGCTTTGAGGAAAGCTGTCTCGGGTGTGGATCAATCAACTTCAAGGACAGTGCATACATTATCAGAGTTGTGTTTTTGTTTGCATTCTGACCGCAGGTATTGTGGTCTATGCAAACATGACTCCTTGTAAAAAAAGGTATCAGTTTAGTTGCCAGATAAAAGGGTAAAACAATTAATTATCACAGTTATAACTGTTCAACCTGGGCTATTCATGCCTTTGACACTTCACATGGCCTAAAAGCGCACCTAACCTGGCACAAGCCCCGATTCGGCCTCAAATGAGTACCCGGTGCAGTATTTAAACATCGCCACTGGGGAGACAAAGGCGGCCGGGCGTGGTGCTGGCCACCCACCGCCTCCCGTACCGTGCCAGGCCTTCATAGGTGCTCGCTAACAGCACTTGCCCCAAGTCTATTTAGGTTATAAGGGGGATCATTGTATTTGTTGTCTTGGTAAATATGAGTGTGTGTGTGTGGGTGAGTGATTCTATTTATGTGTAGCTGCACATATACAGTATAAGTATATCGGTTTCCAAGCGTGTGTGTGTTGTGTAAGAATGTGTGTACGCGTGTGCGTGTGGGGAGCGGTAGTGCGGGGAGCGGTAGTGTAGTGGTTAGCGCGACCCTGGGAGTTCGATTCCCGCTCACGGCCAACGCCAGTGACTGTTATCTGAACCGGTCCTATGCCTCCCCTAAGTCGACTCAGCCTCAAACGAGTACGATGTGTGAACATCACCACGAGGGAGACAAAGGCGGCCGGGCGTGGTGCTGGCCACCCACCCCCTCTCGCGTGCCGTGCCGGCCTTCATAGGTGCTCGCTAACAGCACTTGCCCCAAACGCCGATCGAGGCTACACGGGGGATCTTTGTGAACACGTGTTTATTGAACAAACTCCCCCGACTGGGTGTGGTGAAAACGCTCTCGGCTAATGTGACTGGAACAGGCGCAGACTTGTTCTTTAGTGCGGTACAAAACCCGCAGGCGGTGGTGGTGGCGGTGGTGGCATCGGCACAATCGTCTATAGTCTACGCACTGGCTCCTCCGTTCACTACGCTGCTCAACGATCGGCCCGTGGAGAGATGTTGACTACCTCGCCTGGTGTACAGGAGGTCGTGGGTTCGATCCCGACCCTGACGCCTGCTGCTGTATATTTGGAGTTTGCGTGTCTCTCTCTCTCATCATCATCACGGTGGCTAGGAGATGTTGACTACCTCGCCTGGTGTACAGGAGGTCGTGAGTTCCATCCCGACCCTGACGCCTGCTGCTGTATATTTGGAGTTTGTGTGTCTCTCTCTCTCGTCATCATCATCACGGTGGCTATGAGATGTTGACTACCTCGCCTGGTATACAGGAGGTCGTGGGTTCGATCCCGACCCTGACGCCTGCTGCTGTATATTTGGAGTTTGCGTGTCTCTCTCTCTCTCATCATCATCACGGTGGCTAGGAGATGTTAACTACCTCGCCTGGTGTACAGGAGGTCGTGGGTTCGATCCCGACCCTGACGCCTGCTGCTGTATAAGTGCATGTTCTTCCCGTGATCGTGTTAATTTTTGTCAAGGGTGTTCTGGTTCAATCAACGTGCGTTCAGAGTATTTAAAGCATTTGGCTACTGCGATGGTGATAAACCACTTCGTTGAGCTTTCGTTTGTGATGGACGCGTCGCTTCTGAAACAATAAGCTAATAGCTCGGTCGGCTTCACCTCGTCAAATGAAAGAGTTTAGTTGTATTTGCATATATATTTTAATCGATTTTATTGACATTTCTTGTACTTTCTGCATTCCAATCGTGTTTGTTTGTGTACTGTTTGCTGTTATAACGTTCTGACCCCGTGCCCCTACTGGAAACAAAGAGCTTCATAAAAAATGAAAACATTAAACAATTCTCATGACGTTTCGGCCACAACGCAAGCAGCCGTCCTCAGGTGAAGACCAGGTCTGTCGGGGAGACAGCGTCTGAATTTATTATTTTATTACTTCCCTTATACGTGACTTTACCTAAAGAACCAAGAAGATAAATCCTTGCAGTCACGAAAGCTTTAAATCGAAAAGAGCTTTATATTTCATCGGATTCACCCTGCAGAATAAATACAATATTCTAATTCCGATTCACCTTGCAGGCCAAGACGATTACGCCATCACTTGTGACGCCACCTCCTTGTGCTGCTTGAAGCGTGACGCGTCTTGAAAAGCGTTACGCAATGCTCGAAAACACCCAATGCTCATCATCGTCTTCGCCGCTTGTTATTTAGCCGTTGTAAATTTCCCGCAAATTAAATGATAATTAAATTCCAATCGAAGGTTCATGGGCACCACGTGGTATCACGTGTGCAGCCCCCTGGGTCTCCATCCAACGACGAACGAAGGCCCACTTGTGGTGGCGGAGGTGACGCGGGTTGCCCCGCAGCTTGCAGAGGAAAAAAATTAACCCGTAAAAACAAAGTTTTTCACTATAAATCCTTTATATGCGTGGCATCGGTTTTATTTGATTATTCATTTCTGTTTTTCCTGAGTAAGAGTTTCATTTTTATCACATTGGTATTTTTAATTAAATATGAAATTTATTTTTTCCTAAAAAGTGTAAAATTTAGAATAAAAAATTTTCACGAAAATAAATTGTCACGCACAACGAGTCTGTGTGCAAAATGTCAGCTCGATTGGATCACGGGAAGTGGGTTAAAAAACGACCGAAAATTTGCACGGTCGTAAGCGCGCAAGCAAGCAAGCGAACTTAATATAAAGGATTTAAAAACCCACAGCGTTTGGTCGCACGCAATACGACAACAAACACGACAAAGCTCTCCCGTGTAGCCTACACAGGCAACGGGGGGGGGGGGGGTGGGGGGAAGTGTTGTTAAGGAGCAGGGCGTATGTAGGCCGGAGCGAAATACGGGTGGTCAGTGCCATGCCCGGCCGCCTTTGTCTCCCCGGTGGAGATGTTTTTTTTTTCTTTCTTTTACACACCGCACCGGGTACTCATTTACGGCCGAGTCGACCTAGGGGAGGCTCAGGACCGGTTCAGATAATCGTCACTGGTTTTAGCCGTGAGCGGGGATCGAACTCGGGTCGCCAGGTTCGTAGTGCAGCACGCTAACTGCTGCACTACCGCTCCCCACACCACACACACACCCCACCCACATACACACATCACACACACCCCACACAATCCCCCCACACAGCACACCACATACACACTACACACACACACCCCACACACATCCACACACACCATTCACACACACCCCCACCCACCATTCACACACACCCCCACCCACACCCCACACACCCCACACACACCCCCCCACACACCACACACTCCACACACACCACATACTACACACACCCCACACACACACACCACCCACCACACACACCCCCACACCCCACACACACACCACACACACCACATACTACACACCCCCCACCACACACACACCCCACACACACCCCCCACCCCACCACACACACCCCCCCCACCCCACCACACACACATCGCTCAGCCACCCAGACGCCCATGATGATGATGATGTCACTGCACATTAACGCAGCTCCAAGCCGGTTTCCGATTCGGAGCCAAAGGAAATTCTCTTTGTTTTTTTCCTTCTTTCTTTCAACTCTTTGTTTTACGTCGAGGAAGGGAGGAAGGGTGGGAGGTGGGGGATAGGGGGGGTGAAGTGAAGTGAAGGGGTCGGCGAGGAGCGGTGGCGCAGCGGTTAGCGCCACGCTGGGCTACGAACCCGGCGACCAGAGTTCGATTTCCCGCTCACGGCCAACACCATCACCAGTGGCGATTATCCGAAACAGCCCTGAGCCTCCGCCTAGGGTCAACACTCAGCCTCAATCGAGTACCCGGTACGGTGTGAGAAACATCGCTACTGGGGGGGAGACAAAGGCGGCCGGGCGTAGTGCTGGTCAGGTGCTGCTGCTGCTGCTGCTGCCGCTCGCTAGCAGCACTTGCCCCAACAGTCGTCTGGGGGACCTTTGCCTTTGGGTGTCGGTGAAGGTGACAGGCTTAGCACTGCCAAGACACTGGAGGTGGTCACCACAGAGGGGTAAACAAAACCGAGCCGACAATGAGAAACCAACACACAGTGGCTGCCGGCCAGACAGAGCAGGTGGCGGTGACGTTGACGGTGGTGGTCGTGCCGTTTTACCAGTCGCAGCATTACGAAACAGAGCGTACGAACGTCCGGAATTTGCCTTTGATGATAGCGCACAACAGAGGTCGCAAACGGGTTTTGATTCCTTACCCGTACCCGGCCGCACCAGGGTCGCAAACGGGTAGCCGTACCCGGCCGTACCCGTACCGGGTACCCGATTGCGACCTCTGGGATGAGGCCATGTTGCAGGCGCGGGTGGGTTGATTCTAGGAACTTGAATTGTGAGAAGAGACAAGACGTTGGGAAATGAGTGACAAACGGTGACTCACCAGTGACTCACGGCCTACCCGTACCCGTACCCGGCCGCACCAGGGTCGCAAACGGCTACCCGTACACGTACCCGTACCCTACCCGATACCCGGCTACCCGTACCCGGCTGGGTAGGGTATGGGTAGCCGGGTATCGGGTAGGGTACGGGTATCGTGTACCCGGTTGCGACCTCTGGCGCACACAGTGCATGGTAAGAATGCAACACGGGAGATTCGTGTTAGTCCCAATGATCGACGTCAAGGTCGAAGTCACGTCTGGACTTGAATGAAACAGCGAGAGGGGCTGGGGGAGTCAACAGGACGCACGTTCTGAGTGCAGAATGATGAGAATGGCGATAATGGATGTTTAGTTTTATACACAGGATTACCTCGTTATTCATTTGGGAACTGTACACGACTGCAGAGAGAGAGACAAAGTGATGAGAGATCAAGTGATGAGGACAAAGCAATGACACAAAGCGATACCCGGAAAAAAATACACGCGACCACGGAAAGACACGCAAACTGCAAATATACAGCAGCAGACTTCAAGGGTCGTGTTCGAACCCACGACCTCCTGCACACCAGGCGAGGTAGTTGACATCTCCTAGCCACCGTGATGATGAGAGAGAGAGACACGCAAACTCCAAATATACAGCAGCAGGCGTCAGGGTCGGGATCGAACCCACGACCTCCTGTACACCAGGCGAGATAGTTAATTCTAGATTTGAAGCTTTCGTGACTGCAAGGATTCATACTCGTAGGTTTTTGCGGTAAAGTCACGTGGGGTAAAAAATAAAAAATTCTAAAAATAATAATAATAATAGAAATAAAATAACAAATCACGACGTTTCGGAGGCAACACAAGTCTCCGTCATCAGGTGGGATCTCCTAGCCACCCGTGCCGGCAACCCCAACGCATCGGAGGGGGCCTGCCGTTGTGCTCACCGTGCCCCCCCCCACCCCGCCACCCCCCCACCCCCCCACCCCCCCACCCCCCCACCCCCCCACCCCCCCACCCCGCCACCCCGCCACTCACCACGCTGTAGCCGAGTGGCACACTCGATGGGCAGGAGATGACGCCAAGCGCTGCGATGGGCTCCTCGCTTTCGCCGGGGAGGGCGTCCATGATGTCCCGTACCTCCGGCATGCTCCTGCGTGGCACGCGCGCAATATCGACGGTGATTAAACCGCGGCGACGCGATTTCGACGCCGGGTCGACGACACCAGGGCGGTCGTGACGGTGAGCGAGAACGGAAGGGAACACGCCGTTCAAGTGCGATTTCGCGGACGCGGCGGGTGAAACGGCGGCGAGAGTTTCTGTAAACGAAATTTTTTTTTCTCGTTTCTTTCGGTAAAGTCACGTAGAATGGAAATAATGAAATAAAAAAAACATTGTGTTTTATTTTTATTATTTTATTATTCAGAAGCGATTTGGCTACAAAGCATGGGCTCAACAAAAGTGGCTTAATAATGACGTGGACATTTACAGCAGCGAAGTTATCTAAATTGTCTAAATACATTTCGATTTAAAGCTTTCGTGACTGCAGGGATTCATCTTCTTGGTTCTTTCGGTAAAGTCACCGTTTGCGACCCTGGTGCGGCCGGGTACGGCTACGGGTAGGCCGTGAGTCACTGGTGAGTAACCGTTTGTCACTCATTTCGGGTAGGGTACGGGTAGGGTACGGGTACCCGTACCCGGCTGGGTACGGGTACCCGTACCCGGCTGGGTACGGGTACGGGTATGGGTACCGGTACCTGTTTGCGACCCTGGTGCGGCCGGGTACGGGTACGGGTAAGGAATCAAAACCCGTTTACGACCTCGGGGGCTCGCTGAGGCCTTTGTCCGCAGCAGTGGACCGATCGTGGCTGCCGATGACGTTTTGAGGCAGACGCAGACGGACACTCGGCACCACCGTGGGGGGGGAGGGGGGGTTGGAGGGGGGTCAACTCAGGGACTGGGAAGTTGCCGAGCCGGCGTCTCTGACTTGAGCCCATTGTGCACAACCCTCGGCTACCCAAATAACTTTGGTGTTTACGTTGCGTCACGTGCGCTCGCATGGTGTGTTGGTAAATACCGCTGCGCGCGTTTCCCGTTTCCACGCACGAGATCGACTAGACAAGCGAGGTCATGTTAGCCGGGTGTTTCGCAATAATATAATTTGCACAGTGCTTACTCAAGCATGTGTTACGTGTCACCAAAAGCCGAGTCACTCAGAAGCGATTTGGCTACAAAGCATGGGCTCAACAAAAGTGGCTTAATAATGACGTGGACATTTACAGCAGCGAAGTTATCTAAATTGTCTAAATACATTTCGACTTAAAGCTTTCGTGACTGCAGGGATTCATCTTCTTGGTTCTTTCGGTAAAGTCACGTAGAAGGGAAATAATAAAATAATAAAAATAAAATATAATAAAATAATTCTTCTTGGTTCTTTCGGTAAAGTCACGTAGAAGGGAAATGATAAAATAATAAAAATAAAACAAAATAATTATTCTTGGTTATTTCGGTAAAGTCACGTAGAATGGAAATAATAAAATAATATATTTTTTAATTCTTTCAATATATTTATTATTTTATTATTTCCATTCTACGTGACTTTACCGAAAGAACCAAGAAGATGAATCCCTGCAGTCACGAAAGCTTTAAATCGAAATAAAATAATTCTCACGACGTTTCGGCCACAACGCAAGCAGCCGTCCTCAGGTGAAGACCAGGTCTGTCGGGGAGACAGCGTCCGAATGAAACACCACCAGGCTTGGAGCGTATATTTAAGCTGGGTTGGAAGGGGGGTAAGGGCGCCTTGACAAAATAATTTGCATATCAAGAGGAATTTAGCATATTTATGGGAAATGCAGGTATGTGATTGTATCTAAATACGCGTTTCCAAAATGTGGTGGGGAGCAGGTCAAATGAAGTGGCAGGTGGTACCTCGTCCGTGAGCCGCACAGCTTCCCTTCCCGTGCTTTGCTGTGACCGTCACGCGGTTATTTGCGTAAGGCACGCAGGTTATGCGGGGATGCTGGGGCCAAAGCGACACCCGAAGCTATGGCACTTTTAAATCATCTAGATTTAAAACTCCTTCCGTTATATCGTGGAAATTTATGGCGGACAAATACTGAGCGCGTGATGTCGATTCGAAATGCGGAGGGAATAAAAAAAAAACGAGAGGACCTGGAGAAAAATCCCACGTGATCATGGAGAGAGAGGGAGCCCTGCAAACTCCAAATATACAGCAGCAGGCGTCAGGGTCAGGATGAGACCCACGACCTCCTGCATTTTAGGCGAGGTAGTTAACATTTCCTAGCCACCGTGATGATGATGAGAGAGACACGCAAACTCCAAATATACAGCAGCAGACGTCAGGGTCTGGATCGAACCCACGACCTCCTGTACACCAGGCGAGGTAGTTAACATCTCCGAGCCACCGTGATGATGAGAGAGAGAGAGAGACACGCAAACTCCAAATATACAGCAGCAGGCGTCAGGATCGGGATCAAACCCACGACCTCCTGTACACCAGGCGAGGTAGTTAACATCTCCTAGCCACAGTGATGATGATGAGAGAGACTCAAACTACAAATTTACAGCAGCAGGCGTCAGGATCGGGATCAAACCCACGACCTCCTGCACACCAGGCGAGGTAGTTAACAACTCGTATGGCGCGCGGGTATGTGGGATGCTGAAGCTAAGCGCCACCTGGAGCATTGGCACTTTTAAATTATCTCCATTGAAAACTAATTTCTTTATAATTGCTTTTTGGTGTTTGGTTTATTGTCCTTCCCATCGCCGCATCTCTGATTAGAACGGTTGGCTACGTACGGTGCAAAAGAAGTTCAACATACATGTACATACGTGGTTTACTTTGGGGGTGCCACGGTGGCTAGGAGATGTTAACTACCTCGCCTGGTGTACAGGAGGTCCAGGGTTCGATCCCGACAGTAACGCCTGCGTATTTGGAGTTTGCGTGGATTTTTCTCCGGGTCCTCCCGGTTTTTCCCTCCACATTTAGAATCAACGGTCACGCGTTTTAGAGTGTTTCACTGCCGCTATAAATTGCCACGTGACAATTCGCTGGGCCGTCATTCGTCAACAGCCAGGTAATTCTTCTTGGTTCTTTCGGCAAAGTCACGTAGAAGGGAAATAATAAAATAATAATAAAACATAATAAAATAATTCTCACGACGTTTCGGCCACAACGCAAGCAGCCGGGCATAAGTAGTACTAATCACATATTTGCATTTCCCATATCCCCTCCCTTTGATGCTGCTAATCCTGCATAATGCACGGGCATAAGAAGTACTAATCACATACCCGCATTTCCATATCCCTTCCCTTTGATGCTGCTAATCCTGCATAATGCACGGGCATAAGAAGTACTAATCACATACCTGCATTTCCCATAAATATGCTAAATTCCTCTTGATATGCAAATTATTTTGTCAAGCCGCCCTTTCCCCCCCTTCCAACCCAGCTTAAACATATGCTCCAAGCACGTGTGCTGTTTCATTCAGACGCTGTCGCCTCGACAGACCTGTTCTTCACCTGAGGACGGCTGCTTGCGTTGTGGCCGAAACGTCGTGAGAATTATTTTATTATGTTTTATTTTTATTATTTTATTATTTCCCTTCTACGTGACTTTACCGAAAGAACCAAGAAGATGAATCCATGCAGTCACGAAAGCTTTAAATCGAAAGCCAGGTAATTGCTGAAAAAAAATCTACAAAGCAGTTTAATGGTGCCTTAACTGGTCAAATTTAAGAGAAACGAAACCCACTGACACATCAACACATGCGCCTCTCTCTCCACACTTCATTGTAACACCCTTTCAGCTGCGGTTACACTTTGCCTCACCGATGCCCGCTGGTTGTCTCCGATCCGTACGTCACAGCGGATTCACCGATGCCAACTTAACGTCGCTTTAGGCACACATTGCTACGTTGTACGTAGCACGCGCGTTACACTTTGGCGGAATTGTAAGGTTCTAGATTTGAAGCTTTCGTGACTGCAAGGATTCATATTCTTAGTTCTTTCGGTAAAGTCACGTGGGTATAAAATGAAAGAAAAATTAATACAAATAAAATAATAAAATCACGACGTTTCGGAGGCAACACAAGTCTTTGTCATCAGGCTGTGACGGTCCCACCTGATGACGGAGACTTGTGTTGCCTCCGAAATGTCGTGCACGATTTTATTATTTTATTTCTATTCATTTTAATTTCATTTTATACCTACGTGACTTTACCGAAAGAACTAAGAGTAGGAATTATAAGGCTTCACACTTCAGCGGCGTTAGCCTTGAGAGCCTGGCATGATAAACAGGTTTGTGTATGCAAATTAAATTCAAATCGTGCGCAAATGTTTTAATCAAATACTGCACAGTAACTACATACGTCTCTCCACGCAAAAGTATTTAAGTGCTACACATCTCATCAGCCGCGGTGCCCCTTGAGCAGCATTGGTTCAACAAAACTTTGAACTGGTTTCAACATTCATTGACCTCATCAGCAAGGTCAGGTTCGCTTGAAACAATTCTGGTGAACTCCCCGATGTTTATAGGCAAGAATTTCATCTTCTTGGTTCTTTCGGTAAAGTCACGTAGAAGGAAAACAATAAAATAATAAAAATAAAACATTATATTATTTTATTATGTTTTATTTTTATTATTTTATTATTTTCCTTCTACGTGACTTTACCGAAAGAACCAAGAAGATGAATCCCTGCAGTCACGAAAGCTTTAAATCGAAAGCCAAGTACTTGTTTTGATGTTCATTGACCTCATCAGCAAGGTCAGGTTCGCTTAAAACAATTCTGGTGAACTACCAGATCTTTGTAGGCAAGGACTGGTTTCGTGTTTCATTGACTCATCAGCAGGGGCAAGTTCGCTTGAAACAATTCTGGTGAACTGCCAGATCTTCTTGGTTCTTTCGGTAAAGTCACGTAGAATGGAAATGATAAAATAATAAAAATATAACATAATAAAATAATTCTCACGACGTTTCGGCCACAACGCAAGCAGCCGTCCTCAGGTGAAGACCAGGTCTGTCGGGGAGACAGCGTCTGACCTGGTCTTCACCTGAGGACAGCTGCTTGCGTTGTGGCCAAAACCTCGTGAGAATTATTTTATTATGTTTTATTTTTATTATTTTATTATTTCCATTCTACGTGACTTTACCGGAAGAACCAAGAAGATGAATCCCTGCAGTCACGAAAGCTTTAAATCGAAATTGAACTGCCAGATATTTGCAGGCAAGGACCCTCCTCTCTTTTAGACGCTTCGGCTCACAGTTTGACGCAAATCCGCGCAAAACACAACCTCGCGGAGGGTTGTGGAGTGCCACCATTGGCTTCTGCTCCTTTTCCGCGGGTTTCGGCCGCGGCTTTGGGTCGCGGCTGTTGTGAATGTGGTCTGCGAAGCCTCTGTTTCCGCAGATCGGAAACACGCGGTCGCGAAATTAAAAACACGGAACAAAAACGGAACACCGCCGCAAACGCCGCATGCTGGTGTTCGTCTCGCTTGACCCCCATTCTCGTTTGTAGCCGTCCCGTTTTGAAACAGAGGCCTGTACGCTTGAAACTAAATATGCAATTAGGCAGTGTAAACTCAAACTCGCACGCGCCGCAGCTCAACGCGCCGATCCGCCATCACGCCCCCGACGCACAGAAACATCGCACCTCCGATTAGCACGGTTGGCTGCGTATTGTGCAAAAGAAGTTCACCACAGTCAAACTAGCGGCTTATGACCGTACGGAATCGCTCGGCACGAACACAGGATCACGGGATCACGGGAACACGGGAACACATGAACACACGGACACGCGAACACGGGAACACGGGATCACGGGAACACACGGGAACACACGAACACACGAACACGGGAATACACGAACACACAAACACACACGCACACACGAACATGGGAACACACGAACACGGGAACACACGCACACACGAACACACGCACACACGAACACACGCACACACGCACGGGAACACGGGAACACGCAAACACACGCACACACGAACACACGGGAACACGCGAACACACGTGCGCAACACTCACAGTTCGGGATTGGGGGGGAGCAACTCCTTCCGAGTCAATCCGTACGGCCGGCAGTCTCGCCGCCCCGGCTGTTGAAACAACTTCAAACTCTCCAAAAACGATCTCTCCTCTCTCGGGGTCTCTCTCGCGGAAGCCGGACTTGTCGCCGGCGACCGGGGAGTGGTGTGCGGAAGAGGGGGAAGAGATTCTCCTGCCGACGTTATCGGCGTGAGCGGTAACGGCGGCGACGACCGCGCAACGACTTCCAAACGCGTCCAAGTCACCCGTCGGTCGCCCACTCGGCTTAAAAGAGCGATCCGAAGCGAGGGGGGAGGTCGTATGGGAGGTCGCAAGGCGGTGACAGACAGGGAGGTGGCAGAGGAGGTGAAGGAGGAGGAGACGCTGAGCTGTGACTGTTACGTCCTGCCAAGTGTGGCTTGCGTCTCAGGTAGAACTGGGAGGGCGAGTTTTTTTTTTGAAGTTAGAGGGCTCGGTGAGACGGTGAGGTTAAGGGGGTGGAGTGATGGAGTGGCTGGCTGGGGGGGGATGACGGGGAGAGAGCGGAAATTTGTAGACTTCACCAGACTTCACCAAACTTCAGAGTGTAGCACCGAAATCCTTTCAGCGCCGAAATCCTTTCAGGGGCGGGTCGAAACGTGTTGTCGTACGTATGCACGTTGAAATTATTTTGCACCGTGATAACCGGCAGGTGCAGTGTTGAGTCTATGGGCAGTGTTGAGTCTATGGGCAGTGTTGAGTCTATGGACAGTGTTGAGTCTATGGGCAGTGTTGAGTCTATGGGCAGTGTTGAGTCTATGGGTAGTGTTGAGTCTATGGGCAGTGTTGAGTCTATGGGCAGTGTTGAGTCTGTGGGCAGTGTTGAGTCTGTGGGCAGTGTTGAGTCTGTGGACAGTGTCGAGTCTATGGGTAGTGTTGAGTCTATGGGCAGTGTTGAGTCTGTGGGCAGTGTTGAGTCTGTGGGCAGTGTTGAGTCTGTGGGCAGTTTCGAGTCTGTGGGCAGTTTCGAGTCTATGGGCAGTGTTGAGTCTATGGGCAGTGTTGAGTCTATGGGCAGTATTGAGTCTATGGGTAGTGTTGAGTCTATGGGTAGTGTTGAGTCTATGGGCAGTGTTGAGTCTATGAGCAGTGTTAGTCTATGGCAGTGTTGAGTCTACGGGTAGTGTTGAATCTACGGGCAGTGTTGAGTCTATGGGCTGTGTTGAGTCTGTGGGCAGTGTTGAATCTATGGGCAGTGTTGAGTCTATGGGCAGTGTTGAGTCTAAGGGCAGTGTTGAGTCTATGGGCAGTGTTGAGTCTATGGGCAGTGTTGAGTCTATGAGCAGTGTTAGTCTATGGGCAGTGTTGAGTCTATGGGCAGTGTTAGTCTATGGGCAGTGTTGAGTCTATGGGCAGTGTTGAGTCTATGGGCAGTGTTAGTCTATGGACAGTGTTGAGTCTACGGGTAGTGTTGAGTCTATGGGCAGTGTTGAGTCTATGGGCAGTGTTGAGTCTATGGGCAGTGTTGAGTCTATGAGCAGTGTTAGTCTATGGGCAGTGTTGAGTCTATGAGGGTGTTAGTCTATGGGCAGTGCTGAGTCTATGGTCAGTGTTGAGTCTATGGGCAGTGTTGAGTCTATGGGCAGTGTTAGTCTATGAGCAGTGTTAGTCTATGGGCAGTGTTGAGTCTATGGGCAGTGTTAGTCTATGGGCAGTGTTAGTCTATGGGCAGTGTCAGTCTATGGGCAGTGTTGAGTCTATGGGCAGTGTTGAGTCTATGGGCAGTGTTGAGTCTATGGGCAGTGTTGAGTCTATGGGCAGCGTTGAGTCTATGGGCAGCGTTGAGTCTATGGGCAGCGTTGAGTCTATGGGCAGCGTTGAGTCTATGGGCAGTGTTGAGTCTATGGGCAGTGTTGAGTCTATGGGCAGTGTTGAGTCTATGGGCAGTGTTGAGTCTATGGGCAGCGTTGAGTCTATGGGCAGCGTTGAGTCTATGGGCAGTGTTGAGTCTATGGGCAGTGTTGAGTCTATGGGCAGTGTTAGTCTATGGGCAGTGTTAGTCTATGGGCAGTGTTAGTCTATGGGCAGTGTTGAGTCTATGGGCAGTGTTGAGTTTATGGGCAGTGTTGAGTTTATGGGCAGTGTTAGTCTATGGGCAGTGTTGAGTCTATGGGCAGTGTTGAGTCTATGGGCAGTGTTAGTCTATGGGCAGTGTTAGTCTATGGGCAGTGTTAGTCTATGGGCAGTGTTAGTCTATGGGCAGTGTTAGTCTATGGGCAGTGTTAGTCTATGGCAGTGTTAGTCTATGGGCAGTGTTGAGTCTATGGGCAGTGTAGGTCTATGGGCAGTGTTAGTCTATGGGCAGTGGAGTCTATGGGCAGGTTGAGTCTATGGGCAGTGTTAGTCTATGGGCAGTGTTAGTCTATGGGCAGTGTTGAGTCTATGGGCAGTGTTAGTCTATGGGCAGTGTTAGTCTATGGGCAGTGTTGAGTCTATGGGCAGTGTTAGTCTATGGGCAGTGTTGAGTCTATGGGTAGCCAGTGTTGTAGTCTATGGGCAGTGTTAGTCTATGGGCAGTGTTAGTCTATGGGCAGTGTTAGTCTATGGCAGTGTAGTCTATGGGCAGTGTGAGTCTATGGGCAGTGTTAATCTATGGGCAGTGTGCGTCTATGGGCAGCTGTGAGTCTATGGGCAGTGTTGGTCTATGGGCAGCGTTGAGGTCTATGGGCAGCGTTGAGTCTATGGGCAGTGTGAGTCTATGGGCCCGTGTTAGTCTATGGGCAGTGTTGAGTCTATGGGCAGTGTTGAGTCTATGGGCAGTGTTGAGTCTATGGGCAGGTTGAGTCTAGGGCAGTGTTGAGTCTATGGGCAGTGTTGAGTCTATGGGCAGTGTTGAGTCTATGGGCAGTGTTAGTCTATGGGCAGTGTTGAGTCTATGGCAGTGTGAGTCTATGGGCAGTGTTGAGTCTATGGGCAGTGTGAGTCTATGGCAGATGTTGAGATCTATGGGCAGTGTGAGTCTATGGGCAGTGTTGAGTCTATGGCAGTGTTGAGTCTATGGGCAGTGTTGAGTCTATGGGCAGTGTTGAGTCTATGGCAGTGTTAGGTCTATGGGCAGTGTTAGTCTATGGGCAGTGTTTAGTCTATGGGCAGTGTTAGTCTATGGGCAGTGTTGAGTCTATGGGCAGTGTTAGTCTATGGGCCAGTGTTGAGGTCTATGGCAGTGTTGAGTCTATGGCATGGTTGAGTCAGGGGCAGTGTTGAGTCTATGGGCAGTGTGAGTCTATGGGCAGTGTTAGTCTATGGGCATTGTTGAGTCTATGGGCAGTGTGAGTCTATGGGCAGTGTGAGTCTATGGGCAGTGTTGAGTCTATGGGCAGTGTTAGTCTATGGGCAGTGTGAGTCTATGGGCATTAGTGTAGTCTATGGGCAGTGTTGAGTCTATGGGCAGTGTGAGTCCTATAGGGCAGTGTTGAGATTCTATGGGCAGTGTGAGGTCTATGAGGCAGTGTTGAGTCTATGGGCAGTGTTGAGGTCTATGAGGCAGTGTTGAGTCTATGGGCGTGTGAGTCTATGGGCAGTGTCCTGAATCTATGGGCAGTGTTGAGTCTAAGTGGCAGTGTTGAGTCTATGGGCGTGTTGAGTCTATGGGGCACGTGTTTGAGTCTAATGGGCAGTGTGAGTCATGGGCAGTGTGAGTCGATGGGCAGCTGTCGAGTCCTATGGGCAGCCTGTTGAGTCTATGGCGCAGTGTGAGGTCTATGGGCCAGTGTTGAGGTCTGGGGCAGTGTGTAGTCTATGGGCAGTGTTGGAGTCTATGGGCCAGTGTTGAGTCTATGGGCAGTGGTTGAGTCCTATGGGCAGTCGTTGAGTCTATGGGCAGCTGTTGAGTCTATGGGTCAGTGTTGAGTCTATTGGCAGTGTTGATCTATGGGCAGTGTTGAGTTCTATGGGCAGTGTTAGTCTATGGGCATGTTATCATGGGCAGTGTTGAGTCTATGGGCAGTGTGGAGCTTATGGCAGTGGTTGATTTTTATGGTCAGTGTTTAGTCTATGGGCGTGTTGACTATGGGCAGTGTTTGAGTCCTATGGGCAGTGTTAGTCTATAGGGCAGGGGCAGTGTTAGTCTATGGGCAGTGTTGAGTCTATGGGCAGTGTTAGTATATGGGCAGTGTTGAGTCTATGGGCAGTGTTGAGTCTATGGGCAGTGTTGAGTCTATGGGCAGTGTTGAGTCTATGGGCAGTGTTGAGTCTATGGGCAGTGTTAGTCTATGGGCAGTGTTGAGTCTATGGGTAGTGTTAGTCTATGGGCAGTGTTGAGTCTATGGGCAGTGTTGAGTCTATGGGCAGTGTTAGTCTATGGGCAGTGTTGAGTCTATGGGCAGTGTTGAGTCTATGGGCAGTGTTGAGTCTATGGGCAGTGTGAGTCTATGGGCAGTGTGAGTCTATGGGCAGTGTGAGTCTATGGGCAGTGTTGAGTCTATGGGCAGTGTTGAGTCTATGGGCAGTGTTGAGTCTATGGGCAGTGTGAGTCTATGGGCAGTGTTGAGTCTATGGGCAGTGCGGTCTAGGGCAGTGTGAGTCTATGGGCAGTGTGAGTCTAGGGCAGTGTGAGTCTATGGGCAGTGTGAGTCTATGGGCAGTGTTGAGTCTATGGGCAGTGTGAGTCTATGGGCAGTGTGAGTCTATGGGCAGTGTGAGTCTATGGGCAGTGTTGAGTCTATGGGCAGTGTGAGTCTATGGGCAGTGTGAGTCTATGGGCAGTGTGAGTCTATGGGCAGTGTTGAGTCTATGGGCAGTGTGAGTCTATGGGCAGTGTTGAGTCTATGGGCAGTGTTGAGTCTATGGGCAGTGTTGAGTCTATGGGCAGTGTTGAGTCTATGGGCAGTGTGAGTCTATGGGCAGTGTTGAGTCTATGGGCAGTGTTGAGTCTATGGGCAGTGTGAGTCTATGGGCAGTGTGAGTCTATGGGCAGTGTTGAGTCTATGGGCAGTGTGAGTCTATGGGCAGTGTGAGTCTATGGGCAGTGTGAGTCTATGGGCAGTGTGAGTCTATGGGCAGTGTTGAGTCTATGGGCAGTGTGAGTCTATGGGCAGTGTTGAGTCTATGGGCAGTGTGAGTCTATGGGCAGTGTTGAGTCTATGGGCAGTGTGGTCTATGGGCAGTGTGAGTCTATGGGCAGTGTGAGTCTATGGGCAGTGTTGAGTCTATGGGCAGTGTGAGTCTATGGGCAGTGTTGAGTCTATGGGCAGTGTGAGTCTATGGGCAGTGTTGAGTCTATGGGCAGTGTGAGTCTATGGGCAGTGTGAGTCTATGGGCAGTGTGAGTCTATGGGCAGTGTTGAGTCTATGGGCAGTGTGAGTCTATGGGCAGTGTGAGTCTATGGGCAGTGTTGAGTCTATGGGCAGTGTGAGTCTATGGGCAGTGTTGAGTCTATGGCAGTGTGAGTCTATGGGCAGTGTGAGTCTATGGGCAGTG